ATCATAAATCTAACACCTTCAAGGATAAACTTTACATTATTATCATCTATTAATTCTTTTCTCAAGTACAAAATCCTATTTTTTTATTGTCCTATCTTGATCAAAAAGTTTGGCGGGCTACGTTAAGGACACATTAAGTATTTCCTTTCTAAAAAATTTATGGTGATGCCAACATTTCCTGTGTCGCGAGTACACCTACCGCTTTACTTTCTTCCCCCTTGTTTTGGAGATCTGAGGAAGCATGTGGAATCGGATTGTTTGAGACTATTATTGTATTAAAAGACCTCTTACTTTATTTTTTAGCGAAAAAGTTTCTCACTTGCCCGAGAAAACAATTCATGTTGCAAGAAATTATTTGCAAAAAGGATTTGCAATTCAAATGCAAGAAGAAATCATTCTGGGTTCATAATAATTTAATCAGTTAAATTGGAATAATTAAATAATTTTATACTAGCGAAACGAAATGTAAAATAATTATGATAAAGATCAATTTGAGTACAGAAATTTCTAAAATTGTATTTATAGTTTTTTTTATAATTTTGATTAATTAAAATATTAATTCTTAAATATAATTAATCTATAACTCTAATCAATAATTTATTAAAGAAAAAGAATATGTTTGCCTTTTCAGGTTAAAAAAAAAAATTTAAAAAAAGATGAAAACGAAAATAAAATAAAATCACTTTATCGGTAATTTACTATTTGGCGATTTTTGCTAGTACAATAAATTACTAATCATTTATTTTGTTATTAAGTCAAATTGTAAATCACTATTAGATAACATTATTTAATATAGTTTAATAACTAATTAATTATTTATTTATTTGTTGAAAGTGCAATTTTTATAATATTTCTTAACTATCGTCACTTTCTTGAATTTGGGATCTTTTCTTTTTTTCATGATATTATGATTTTCATCAGGTACATGTGACGCAGACAATTGTGTTTTGAGGAACTCCACCTTTCGCAAGTGCTAATAGTTGTTCAAGAGAGAGTAATTGATTACCTTTGGATGAAACATTTTGTGTCATTTTATATTATCAAAAAAAAGAAAAAAATTTTTTTGTGAAAAGCAAGACGTGTAAAAGAAAAAAAGAAATATCATTTGTTTTTATGGAATAAATGGTTTAATAAAGTTTAAATTAAACTATTTTGTGTGTAAACCGATAAAACAGTTACTCGGCACCACGTGATCTCGTAGCTGTGGCACTGCCCGTGCCTTACATGTATTTGCAATAAGAATATGATCAATGGAATTTGCTCACCGGTCATATTGCTTATTGCAAATACAACAGTTACTCAGCACAAAGTGCCGAGTAACTATTAATTATTTTAACTGATGCAGTATCCGATGCGGTCGAAAAACCTGCATGAAAATAAAATAGAATAAAATAAAACTAAAAAACATTAAAAAAACAATTTATTTGTATAAAACATCATCTATCATTCACAACCTTAGTCTGTTTCCCATCTTTACCAATTGAAATGATCTTGAAATAATCTCAAATAACATCATTTTATTGTAAATTTAAAAATAGTAAGCTTTTTACTATGATCCTTATATAAATTTTATTTATAATTATTTTATAGCATTTTCATAAAGATAAATATCAAAGATGAAGAATAAAATAGCAAAAGCTATAGTAATATTGAGTTGAATTTATATAATAAATTCACAACTTTATATACTAGTAATAGAATAATCGTAAGCATTGATTAATATTTAATATATTTATTAAAATAAAAACAAGAATATTATTAAAAAAAAAATAGCAATTTCAGGATTTATGTTATTTTCAAATCAACATTATTTAATTCTATTATTAAAAAAATATATAAATTGTAATATATAATTTATATATATTATAATTAGGTCTTAGGTTACTTAATTTTGTTTATCCTTTAAAAAATCTAAACAAAGCAATTGATACTACTCTTTCTGATATTGATTAAAATTTGTTTTAATATTCTTATATAATATAACATCATAAATATATTTATTTTTCTTTTAAATATAATATATTAAATATATAATATACTTTGAATATAAATTAATATGAATTAAAAAACGAGAACTGTTATGCATTTAAAGTATAGATGCCTGCTGAAACCTCCTTAAAATAATTTCGTCATACCCTTTTCTATATATTTAATATAGTTTTAACAGTTTTAGCTTTCGTCATATCGAAAGAATTTCGTCGTATTCCTTATTATGATTTTAATATAGTTTCATCTAAGTTTTGACTGTTATTAAGAGGTTTCATCCCTCATCATTAATCTAAAGTATTAATTTATATTACTTAAATATATAATAGATAATGCTAATTTATTAATACAGTTTTATGTGAAGAAAAATTGAATAAAAGGCATGTATTTATATTATACCTGATATTAAATTTTAATTGATTAATTTTATGACAAACAAATATCGAGTCAACCAGGTTGTCTAATCTAACTTGAATTTTTTTCTTAAGTCAAAACTATCATTTTATAATATAAGTCCTAATTCAAAAACAATTTAGGTCAGGATTATATTTTTGCTTGATTTAAGTTAACTTAGATGATCCAAATAATCTAGACTTTTTTTTGTTTTACGTTATATGACTTTAATTTATAATAAATAAATAATAAGTAAATCTATCAATGTTACAATACAACTGTTTCTAGAAAATAAAAGAATTGCAGAGTGAATAATTACAAAAAAAATTTATTTAACATTAACACATTTTTTTATAAAATAATAAGTGTTTTAGTAGAATGAGTTTTTCTGGCAAAATTGATCTGATATCAACCAAAAGATGTGTTCTTAAAGCTAATACAATGTGCCTATATATGCTTAAAATTCTAGTGAAAAAAAAGGAATTAGGATTAATGCTTATAAAAAAAATAAAAATTTTTAAAAATAAAATAAATTTTATGTATTAGTTATTCTATAAGGATCAATAGATATCATTGATTTTTATAGCATAGTTGTGAAAATATTAATGATATCTATATGATCCCTGTGAAATAACTTTTTTATCTTTTAGGAACTAATGCCTGTAATAAAAAATTTTAGTTTATTAATAGTTTATTTTATTTTGCTATAAAAAGTTTATTTTATTATAAAATGTTTATTTTGCTATAAAATTTCCATACTTTTTTTCTTCCTTTTTTATTCTTTTTTTGAAATAAAAAAAAATAGAATACCTCAAAAACGTGTTAATAAAGAACAGAGACTTCACAAAACTTTTAATTCTGTTTTTACTAATACAAGTATTTTCTATCATTTTCAAAAGATACTAGAGATTACAACTTCTATTCAAGATACTTTGAATCCTTCTTCCTCTTTACAAATATCTGAAATTCAAAAAAAGCTTAATTTTATTGTCAATACCTAATACTGAAAGATCAACTTGAAATTGGATTGCTAAATTTGAAAAATTTCACAAAAGTTGCAATTATATTGCATTATTTGAGAAGATTACAAATTCCAAATTAATTGAATAACAAGTTTGTGAATATATTGCACAAATAACTAAAAAAATATCTGGTAAATATAAAGCAAATTCAGTAAAATAAGTTGTTAATGCTATTAATCAATATTTAGTAAAGTTTCTCTAATACACAGAATTAATTTATATGATAAATATGAGTTTTCAGATTTATTTACTGTTTACATGGCAAAATGAAAGATTTGCAAGAAAAAGAATTTGATGAAAAAGGGATCAATAACGTTAACTACACAGCAAGTTCAAGAAATTTTGCTGATGACTTTCTTAATCCTAATACCCTGAAGGTCTTTTATATCATGTATTTATTGAATTACAACTAACTTTGCATTTTGTAGTGGTGAACATTATAATCTTCAATTTCAATTTTTATCTAATGGTAGTTTTTTTTTTGCCATTATCATAGCAAAAACAATCAGCATAGAATTAAAGGAGGAGGAGCTGAACTGAATATTTATCTTCTTTCAAATTCAGAATCAGCTAATGATATTAAAAATATTGTCTAAATATCCTAGTAGTACTTCTAAAAAATTCTATTTACATATTAATCTATTTTGGCATGAAACTGGTATTTGGTATAAACAAACACATTATGGAAGTAATAAAGTAGAGAATTTTATGAAAGATATTGGAAAGTCTGTTAAAGTAGAACTTCTATTTGGTCTTTTAATAAACCATTCTGATCATAAAACTGTTACTCAAATTCTTCAGGATACTAATGTTCCAGAAGATGCTATAATGGGAGTAACAGGTTACAAAAGTATTCAAGGTATTCATGCATATAAAAAAGTAAATAAAAAACAACATCTTGCTGCTATAGATACTTTAATTAATGCTATAGAACTATCAAGATCAATTATTACTGATTCAATAAGTAAAATGCAAATATTAATGTTCAACCAGAAATTTCTTCTTCAATTTTTACTACAACATCAGAATTTTCTTCTTCTAATGATATTCAAAAAAAACTTCCTATTTTTAATAATTATCATTTTAATAATGTAACTTCTAAATTGTAAAATGTATTTATATTACAAATAATAATATACTGTATAATTAAACGTTAATGATCTACATTAAAATAAACTTTGATATTTTCACTGGTATTAAAATATCAATATAAAAAATCACAGGCGATCATTAGTAACCATGAAATAAATATCATTATTTTATTTTCGACATCTTGAAAATTCAAGTTCAATCTGGATTAAATGAGTCAAACAATAATCAGGTAAGTCAAATTTAGGTTCTGTAATTATTAACAGATTTGAGTTCAAATATGCCTTAAATCTGACCTGACCTGACTTTTACAGAGAGCACTAGACAGACATTATATGGTTTTGACTGTAACAGAAGTGTCCTTCGCTACGCTTCAGATAATAAGCCTAAATAAAATGCATTCATAATTTGAGACTATTATTTTAATGATGCGTACTTTAAATAAATAACTTTATTTAATAAGCAATGCAGTTTTAAAATATAATTGTTAAAATTCCAAATAAAAAGCTGAGATCTAATTTTCTTATCATCAATATTTTTTTTGAAGTGATATTTTTTTGAAATATTTGAAGTATTGTTCATTTGTTACTTCAATTATAGTAAAGAAAAAAATTATTTCTCCATAGTCTATAGTTATAAATGAACATTTAAAAAGAATTTTGAAATTTACTCATTAATAAATTCTCCTAAATCAGTTGTAAACATGCAGGTAACTGTTTCACATTGAAAGATTCGACTGTTTCAACTAATTCAGTCTGTGTCCAACTGAAAGAGACTTCATAAACATCCTTGTAATTTACAAATAATACATATCCTGTTGTCTTTGACTGAAGAACTTGCCGGCAATTTCAATATTCACAGTTTAAAATTTGCTTCAATCTCCCTTCCCTCGCCTCACCTTTAAATGTACAATGATATTTTCGTAGTGCTGAATTATACCTAAAAAACGATTCACTTTGAAACAATTTAACAAAGAAATTTTCAGGGTAAGCATCTATTGAAAGTCAGTTTAGATCCCACAGAAAGTTTACTGTAACAAAAATGCTTTTAATGAGAATTATAAATGCATCTTGGTAAGATACAAGGTATTCAAAGGAAAGCTGAAAGAGTAAATGAAGGTGAGGTATAAAATTGTTATTTCAATGTTTAGTATTTTCATGAGTTAAAAGTTGTTTTCGTCTCTAGGAAATACCATTTAGATATTGGATAAATCGTAAGTCATGTTATATTGGCTGCAGCTGATTTAATAAATGTGATGTTATGTAGTAAATTAGTAATGATCGATGGTCGATCATTTTTTGTGACATAATTGATAGGGTTTCCGAAAATACATGATTTAAAATTCATTTCGGATATCGAATATCAGAAAATCAATTCGGATATCATTTCGATTATCAATCATTTCGATCGACTCGAATATCGATCGATTATTTATTTTAAAATAAATGAAATAAAAAAAAATAAAACTAAAGCTTACCTAAATCGAAAAATTTAAAAATATCGAAAAAAACCAAAAAACTAAAAGAGGAAAATGCGAATGAAAAAAAAAAAGTATATACAATATCGGATATACGAAATGATTTGGTATCCGAATTGATTTTCGAGTATTCGAAATCAATTCGATAATCCGAAATGACTTTCGATATCCAAAATCATTTCGATATTCGTTTGAAATTATTTTTAAAAACTTTCAAATATTTGAAATGCAATTTGTATTTCAAACGGAAACCCTAATAATTGAAATAAGCAAATTGGCTATATTATAATAGTGACAAGATAATTCAAAATTTTGCATATCACTCATCAAAAAAAGCTTTTTCAGAAAATCAGAATCCATAATTCCCTTAAAACGCAAAGACAAATGTATTATTCACATAATACTTAAACGATAAGGCAATTAAGATACTGAAAAGGAATATTGAAGTTGACGATCGAACCATCACTGAAGCGGATTGATGAATAGATACAGTAGATGAAATAATCAGATTCTAAAGCTTAAAATAATGAAATAAGAATTAAAACAAGGAAAGAATGAGAAATATGTCATTAAATAATTTTTTTGATGTATAATGAATAAAAGAAAATTTATAAAATTTAAATAATATTTTTAAAGAACAAATGCTTGCGATTAGCAAGATATAGGTCAGTTAACCTATACTTTTTCTCCAGGATATTTGTCAAGAGTTATTTGAGATGAAACAAGTTCACATGAATATAATAGGGTTATAAAAATAATAAAAAGAATTTCACTCAGGCTATAATTAAATTCAAGCATTAAAAGAAAATTTACAAGCTACAAAATACGGATGAAATAGTCAAAAGAGGAATTATTTAAAATGTAAGAAAGTATCTTCATATAAAAGATATGATACAACTTTGTATCGTATTCTATCAAAAGTTAAGAATACTAATGAAATATTTCAAAGGGGCAGTTATTTTTTTTTTTTTTTTTTTTTATAAATTTTTAAAAAAGTGAGTTTAATTAAGTGATATGGAGAAGAGGTAAACCACAGACGATGGCAACATGTGATGTCAGGAGGATCAAGATACATTGCTCTGGTCGTTGATTGCTACAAAATGCACGATGTATCGAGATCCATCGGCTCTAACCACATAGAAAAACGAAGATTTCTAGCTGGCGTGATACTGTAGCTAGTTGTAGTAAAAATGAAAGAGAGGATGAACGACTTTTTTTTGAATTAACTAAAAAATAAAAACGTTTCATTTAATATTAACTCAAAGAAACAATAACTATAAAATTAAATTTATATAAATTTGTCTTCTATACTTATATATGAATTTCGTATTTGTAATTTATTATTAATTGTATTTTATTACGAGGAGTAAATATATCGAACTTTAATCGATATAGCCACATTCTAATAGGGTTATACGCAAATTAAATAATCCGTTCCACCCTTGTATACATATTTCCAATAGGATAACAAATATTCTTCACTAGAACGGATGATTTGAACGTCTAGTTCGAAATAATTCAATCATTGCACGACCAGATATGAACAATGTTAATAGCATTAGAGACTTCTGAATGTCTTTCTTCTTGACATGTCAACGTATTGAGATCGACGCAAGATAGTCAACGTCAATGTCCTTTCAAAGAGTACGAAAATTTACTACTACAATAACTATCATTTAGTAAACATACGTTAATTGCTTACTTACCATGTTATGAAACATAAAGACTGAAAATGCTTTCTTATGAATCTTCAGGGCTCAATAGTTTTTGCTAATAGTAAAATTCTTAATTTTCTAAAATCCATATTACGAAAATTATGGGAGAATTATAGTAGTACAAACTAAATCAAAATCAAAAAGACATATTACGATAAGATCATTTATTACGAATCTTTTGTCTGAGAATGAACTATGAGAATTATAAAATATGTCATCATATCTCATTTAAAAAAAACTTTTTTTAGTAACTTTGACAACCTGTATAATCACTTAAAATACCTCAGAGTACGTAAATTTTCTTGATACCTGACAAAGAATTTAAGTAACGATCAAAAAAAAAAAATAAAAAAGAAAAAAAAAGGTTTAAATTTAAAATTTGATCTGATGCACTATAATGTAAATAATGTAAATTAATACGTGTTAATCCTGAGAGCATAAGGTATGAAAAGTTAAAATTTTCAATGTGCAGACATCTAAATATATAAAAAAAAAAAAAAAAAAAAAAAAAAAAAAAACCTGGTTAAAATATTAAAAAATGAAAGAATTAACCAATTAAATTTTAGTATTTTCTGCCTTATAATTGAGTTTATCCTAAACAGACCTAATTCGGCCCATTCAGATCAAGTAACAAATAGTAAGGATTTTATTAAAGCGTTTTTTCATTAAGAGTTTCAATAATTTTTTTATTGAATAATTTTTATTTTTTTTTTTATGGATTTAATCATTTTGAGATATAGAGATCGAATAATATAAGGTTGATAAGCCTCCTTAGTTTTATTATAAAAGTCTAGTGGACTTTTTTATATATTAAAACGATTTATTTTAAAAGATTTTATTTTTAAACGAATGAGGTGGAGATTCCCTCGAATATTGAAAAAATGGTTCTTTAGAAATAAAATCGTTTAATATAAAAATATGCTCACTAAATGTACTCATCGAACAGCAATATAAAAAAAATTAAATTTAGAAGGAGTTAACGCTGGTTAAAATTATTGGGATCATTTAAGAAATCAGATGTAATTTAAAAAGTTTCTTACGTAATTTTATGGATTTATACATAAGAATGTTGAAAATCATGAATCTTCAATAGCTTCATCCTACAATTTCATAACATAAAAATTGCACCTTCATTTTTTCTGATAAATTCCAAACAATTTCGTTTGCTTGAAATATTTATTAACCACAAATCAACTCAAGTAATTTGTGAGCTAGAAAGTTCATAGTGATTGTATAGAGATTCTAATAATATTCCATGACCCATAACAGATATCTCTACAATTATGACAGTCAACTGTTGCAGCATTTTAACTGAAACGCCTGCTACGTCATATGAATAGCAGAATAAACAACATTGCTTCAATTTAAATCGAATGTCCTAATTTTGAGATATCATTAGCAAAACGATGCTCATGTTGTGACTGAAATAGATTTTCGTCTGAAGTTGAATCCAATTTCAGACGCCCTTTTTGCTTTTAAAAAATTATTTTAACCAATCACAATATGCCAATTTTTTTTTTTTACTATTTCGTAAATGCAGTTTAAAATTTTATTTCAGACTTAGCAATAGCATATTAATAAAAATTATCTTTTAGATAAATTATAATTTAATTTCTCGGCATTTATTTAATAAATTTTATAGCATTTAAATTTCCAATATTTATTTATTTATTTATTTATTTTTCTT